GGTTGCGGGGGCCCCCCCCCCCCAAGACTCCTTATCCCCGGGCACCAGCAGCAGGACAGGGCTCGAGGGGCGGTTGGGCATGGGAAGGCGAGGCAGCACATCCCTGCCGGCACTGAATGTGGATCCTGCGGGGAGCCGAGAGGAAAAGGGGTTGTCTCCAAAACTCTGCTGGGCTGAGCGTGGCTTCCTTGCTGGAAAGCTAAAAATAGTATCTTTACTCAGAAGAGGCTGTAGGAGGGATCTCATCCAAAGCGCAGCCAAATACCTAGGAGGCCGTAGGACAGACCCAGCGCCGCGAGGCTTCGCTGAGGTGTCACCAGACCTTGGAAGGACAGCTGCTGTAGCTGCACCAGCAGATAACCCTGTTACCCCTGGGCATCTCATCGTGCCAAAGGTGCCAGAGGAACCGGGCTGGCTGGCGAGGGGACACCCCACCCCGGCAGAGCTGGGAAGCAGTCACGTATCGCCATGGCCGCCCTTGGTCTGCAGCAGAGGTTCAGCTCAGGGGACAGAGATGGCAGCAGGACAGGGGGTTTTTCCAGCCTCTCACGGCCTGGCCCACGCCACAGGGGATATCTGGAAACCCCGTGGACGGCTCTGCTGTCCCTGTGGCGCCGGACCCCTCACAGGCAAAGCCATCCTCTGCGGGGCTGCTGCTGCCTGCACTGGGCAGCATCCAGCTGCTGCTGCGCAAGCTGGCAAAGCGCCGGGAGACCAGAAAGGCCGTGCCCTTGCCAGGGGAACGCTCGGGCCGACTGCTCACGTGCGGTGCTGACTTCTCATCTCCCCATTCCCAGGGGGTCTCGCTCCCTTCCCTGGCTCTTCTGCGGGCAGTTATTCCTGGAAATATCCTGGAGTTGCCTTCAACCATGCCCTCGCCTGCTGACGTTTATAGAGCTTCTTCCAGCGGCTGATGTATTTCATAGCATGAATCTCTCCCCAGCCCGTGTTCATGCCTTTTCCTCCGTGGGGTCTGTCATTGCCCCTGTGCGTGGCCAGGGTTAAAGACGAAGCTGCAGCTGCACCACCAACAGCTTTCAGCTTCTGGGCAGGGAGACTCATCCTGGCAGAGCCCAGCTGTACCCGTCTTCTGTCGAATACCCTGCCCGCCAAGCTAATCCTCCCCTGGTCTCTCCCAGCCATTTCTGCTTCTCAGATTTCTCCCTCTTGGGTGGAGGAGCCGCAGGGCTGCCAAATCTTGCAATGCTTGGGCTATTTCTTAAAGCCCCAGCTCCTGAAATGGTGGGAAAACTGGAGGCTCCCGCTTTTTGTCAGCTTTTGTTTCTTTAAGGAGTTTCTTTTCCTCCTGCTTGTGCGGAAGAAGCAGGGACCAGGGGCCTGCAGCCCACGCTAGGGAGCAGAGGGTGGGCACACAACCCAGGCAGCCCTGGGGTG